ATGAGGTACAGTTGCCAAGACGATGATGGAAGCGGGGAAGGACGAGGGGAGGCGAAGAGGGGAAGGGGAGGAGAAGAGGGGAGGCGAAGGAGGAAGAGAGGGAGGGAGGGAGGGAGGGAGAGGGAGGGAGGGAGGGAGGGAGAGAGAGAGAGAGAGAGGAGAGAGAGAGAGAGAGAGAGAGAGAGAGAGAGAGAGAGAGAGAGAGAGAGAGAGAGAGAGAAGAGAGAGAGAGAGAGAGAGAGAGAGAGAGAGAGAGAGAGAGAGAGAGAGAGAGAGAGAGAGAGAGAGATGAGAGAGAGAGAGAGAGAGAGAGAGAGAGAGAGAGAGAGAGAGAGAGAGAGAGAGAGAGAGAGAGAGAGAGAGAGAGAGAGAGAGAGAGAGAAAGAGAGAGAGAGAGAGGAGAGAGAGAGAGAGAGAGAAGAGAGAGAGAGAGAGAGAGAGAGAGAGAGAGAGAGAGAGAGGGAGAGACTAGGCGAGGACTATATGGGACATCACTTGCGCCCAAGAATATTACTCGTGACATCAGTGAGGAAATAATATCGGGAAATATTACGTGGGCGGCGTGTTGCTGGTGTATGGCGGGCGTGTTTTTTGGTGTGTGGGTAGGCGTGTTGCTGGTGTATGGGTGGGTCGTGTTTTTGGTGTGTGGGTGGGCGTGTTTTTGGTGTGTGGGTGGGCGTGTTATTGACGTGTGGGCGGGCGTGTTGCTGGTGTATGGGCGGAGGTGGTGGTTAGGGCGGTGGTGTGGTTTTGGGCTTTTGAAGTTTATGAATAAAATTTGTCAGTGGACAAGAATAATAAAATATTACCGGTGATAATAATATTTCTGAAAAATGATAATAAAAATGCTACTGTTACTTGCAATAATGAGACTTGATAACGATGATAATGATGCTAATTATGAAGATAATTAACAGTAATAACAACGATAGTAATAGTAATGACAACAACAATAACCAAAAAAAAAGATAATCATTATCATAATTATAATAATATATATTCAATAAAATAATAATAATAATAATAATAATAACAATGATATTTAATAATAATAATAATATAATAACAATATATTTAATAATATAATAATAATAATATAATAATGATAATAATATTCTTAGCATTAGCACCATCACCATTATCATTAATATTACCATCTTTTATCACCATTCTCATTAACAATAACATCACACTGAACACAAATACTATTATTGATATTTACATATTTTTTTTATTACAAAATCATTTTTTCCTTTCCATAAAACAAAACAATTTTCCTGTTTCGAGTCATTTAACCATAGACATATTCATTAGGTAATAAGTGTATTATCATAAAAAATATATATATAGACAATACAGTCAGGATTTCTGTCAAAATTCGTCTGAAATTTAAAATGAAAAATGGTGGTATTGTTTATCAGTCAAAAGAGTCACCGATCTGACGGCCTTATCAAACGTATGCAAATCATTATTATTTCTATTATTATCATCATTAGTATCATTATCATTATTTTCATTATCATTATTATTATTATTATTATTATCATTTCATCATTCTTATTATCATTTTTTATTATTACTATCATTATCATCATTCTTATTATTCATTATTACTATCATTATCATCATTCTTATTATCATTATTATGATCATTCTTATAATCATCATTATCATTATCATTATCATTATCATTATCATTACCATCATTATCATGATTATAATAATCATTATCACTATTATCAGTATCAACGTTATCATTATTTTCAATATCATTATTGTCATTATTATTACCATTATCGTTATTATCAATATCATTATCATAATATCATTTTCAAAATTATCATAGTGATCATTATCGTGATTATCATCAATACAAGAATCACATCATTATCCTGACCATCATTATTATTATCATTGTTACTTTATCCTTATCATCATCACCATTATCATTATTCATCCTTTATCATCAATCATCTCATTTTCATTCATTTTTTTTTTCCATTCACGTCTTAAAAGAAAAAAAAAATCTACTAATTTTCGTCGCCGATAATATTTCGGCGTCGTGGGAGAACAAAGAGAGAGAGAGAGAGAGAGAGAGAGAGAGAGAGAGAGAGAGAGAGAGAGAAGAGAGAGAGAGAGAGAGAGGAGAGAGAGAGAGAGAGAGAGAGAGAGAGGAAGGGAGAGATGGAGAGAGAAAGATAGAGATAGAGATAGAGAGACAAGAAGAAAGAGAAGGAGAGAGAAAGACAGATATAGAGCGAAAAAGAGAGAAAGAGAGAGAGGGAGAGAGAGATCGACACCTATTGTCCCTATTCTCCGTCCATCACAACGTCATTTTTCACACCTAATTTTTTATACTTTCCCCCAAAAAAACCCTCAACTCCTTTACTTAAAAAAAAACTAAAAGAAAAGAAACGAGAGTTAAAAAAAAAAAAAAAAAAAAAAAAAAAAAAAAAAAAAAAAAGGCCGTCAAATTTCTATGAACCCCAGTGTGAAAAATGTTAATCGTCACCTTCATTGATTAATCATAACCAGAGCTAAATTAATCAAATCATTAATCTAATCAGTAATCGGGGCCCTTTCCTGGTGCGCGGATCATCCATCCCTTTCCCGCTAAGGATCGCTCAGGGGGGGGAGGGGACGCCGCTACGCCCCTCGCTCCTTTGCCTTTCGCTCACCCTGGAAGGACGCTGAGGAGTGGGGGGGGAGGGGAGGGGGAGGGGGAAGGGAAGGGAGGGAAGGGTGGGAGGAAGGGGAAGGGGGGAGGGGGAAAGGAGGAGAAAGGGGAGGAAGGGGGTGGGAGGGGGAGAGAGGGTGGGGGGGAAGGGGGGGAAGGGGGAGGGGGGAGGGGTGGAGGGAAAGGGGAGAGAGGGGAGGGGATGGGAAGGGGAAGGGGAAAGGAGAGGGAGGGAGGGAGGGGGAGGGAGAAGAGGAGAGGAGAGGGTGAAGGAGAAAGGGATGGTGGTGGAGGAGTGGAGTGAGGGAGGGAAGGGGAAGGTGAAGGGGTTAGTGGAGGGGATGAAGGGTGGGTGGGGGCGAGGGCAAGGAAGAAGGAAGAGCAAAGTGGAGGGGAGAAAGGAAGTAGAATGATGGGAAAGAGAAGAGAACAAAAGAAGGAGATGAAGAAAGGGAGGGTGGGGGGGGGGGAGGCATCCTAAGGAGGTGTCCTGCTCCTCAATCTTGCAGGATCGAGTATCGGCATCCTCGAGCTCCACGTCTTGTAGTGACCAGGGAGCATACGCGCGAGGATGGCTGCCTGCTCCTCGCTCGCCTGTGTTTGTTGTTATTATTTCATTTCTACTTTCTAAACGGGTTCGAAACTGAAACGAAGCTCCATTATGATCCTCACCTCAGCCTGGTCTCCTACAGAAACCTATCAATCACCGGCCGAACTTCGTTGTACCCCCAACATTCCACTTCGAAGCGCCCTGCCATTATCGTTAATTCCCCTTCCGTTTTAATTCTCGTAAAAAAAAAAAAGTGATGTTTACCTATTCTCGTTTTTTTTTCTTGTTCTTGTAAGAGGAATCCCGCGACCACTGAACTACGAACAAGTTATTTTCCGAAGCCCCGAAGGCCTTTTCCCGTGATACAAAGGCAGACGGGGGCGAGGAGGGTTCGTCCGAGATGTGAAAAATGAATACAACTCCGCCTTTTGAACAACAAGCGAAGCCTAAGAGCGATTCCCTTCCATTCATTTTCTCCCTCAGGAAAAAAAATACTAAAGAGAGAAAGAGAGAAAAAAATCCACATCTGATAGTAAAACTGAAAGAAAAACTTGTCCATGATTCTTTAAAAAAAACAACAGAATTAACACCGTTTTAATTTTCCGAAGTGATCGAGGCGACGGCTGAGCGCTCGATCCCCGCTAACCGGGGTAGCGGGGATGGCTGGCTGCGCTCGGGAGGAGATCCCTTGCACGATGACAAACGATCCTCTCTCCTGATTTGCTGCTGCTGAATAAGAAATCATCGCTTGATGGATTAATCATCAGCGCCAGCAGCAATGGCCGGCCCCGAAAGAATGGCCACGAGATACAGGAGCGAAGGCGAAGAGGCCCGGCTGCGTCGGAGCGCGGGGTTGGAGGCCGACTTGGAGGCGACGCTCGAGGAACATTCGCCCGGAAGACCTCGAGGGCGAGCAGCAATGGCGCTATACTATATACTTGTAAATTACAAAGCGGAAAACTCGAAGGAATGGCAAAGGATGACTCAGAAAGGCTCCGAGATCATCCCGAGAAGCTGTAGTTAATGGCAAATTCAAGTTTAACGCTGATCTTTACGCAAGATAAAATCCCATTAATGAAACAAGAAAAAAAAGATAGGCCTATTACGGGCCCGTCTGAGAGGAGTGGTGGGGGGGGGAAGGGGGGAGGATGGTGGGGCATAAGAGATAATAAGAAAGGTGGGGCGAAGAGAGGGGGAGACTGGCCGACGGAGGAGTAGCCCCCCCCCCCTCTCTACTGTAGGGAAGGGGGGTCGGAAGTAAGGGCGGCGGATAGAGGGCGCTGACGATTCTCCTGCTCTGATTAATTGTTGAACTTTAGCACACAATTTGTCTCTGTAACGCAGCAGCCATCATCAATGTACGATGGTCGGCCATGGATTAATATTACAAGCGATATTTATATACCTCGCCGGGCGGAGTGGATAAACAAGCCGTCAGTTAAACAATGTAGGCGTAGAGGCAAGCGTCGCTGGGACAAACAGGAACAAACAGGGTGTCGCGGGCAGGACCGACGATGAATCATGGCTTATAGGTAAACATTGGAATAATTGAACACATCCACTGATGGGCCGGTCACTGGCGGCCGCTCCTGCGCCTCTGCCGTCCCGCCTCCACCTGGCGCAGCATGCCATGTAGTCAAGAGTATGCTGTCACTCACGAGAGCTGTGGTGAGTGCGCGTGGTGTTGCATGTGATGGCGTTTTCGTTCACGGTGTAGATTTGATGTTATGTGTAATATGTAGTATAGAACAGGATAAAAATCTCGTTACTAACCTTTCTAGCGGACCCACTGGTTCCCGGCTGCGATGGACGAGCATGGGTAGGGCATCCCCGAGGGCACGGCCATCTGAGGGGTGTCGGGGTGCCCATGGGCGTGGGCGTGGGCATGTGCATGGGCGTGTGCGTGGGCGTGGTGTCCGTGATGAGCTTGTGGGAAGGAGAAGTCCAGGTTCCCCTCGACCTGTAGCTCATGCTTGATCACCTGAAAAGCCCAGGAGCTGGTTAGAGCACCGACAGTCGCACAGTCCCTTGGGGCTCAACACCATTAAAAATAAAATAAATAAATTATCTAAAGGAAGGGGGTCTTTACGGGGCAAACTGTGAACACGTTCCTCTAATAATCACGTGGTTAGAATCTTGACTCACGATCCTAACAGTAACCAGCACAACCTATGGCAAAAGTGACGTAGCTATCGTTCCCGTAGCCTCAGTTTTTTGACCATACACACAAGGAAGAATCGGAAATCATACTGTTTGACGTGGCGGCGTGCGTGAGCGCAAGCACACGGCGTCGCTGTCTACACTCACGCCTACACCCGAATCTCTTCTCATGAGGAGGTATGTGTGTGATGAGAGTGATGGAGGTGCAGAGTACTGGCATGGTTCATCAATTGCAAGGGAGAGAAAAGAGGAGGGAGTCTGCCTAAGTCTGCTAAGTGTAGCTCTTCTAACTGCTAATGAGGAAGGATTCTGATTGAACTGCAACAATGGCTACTGAACATTTTTTCCTAGTAAAGAGAGAGAGAGAATTAAAAAACAAACTCCCGACCAGAACCTAAGACTATAATGCTTTGTTGAGGGGGGGGAAAGGTGATGCTAGGCCGGCTACCCTGACATGTAGGCCTATCTTAGCGGGGTGACCCAAGGCTTTCCGACTCGTGGAGAGACTCGAGTGCATCAGACAAGTCCCCCTCCCCCCTCCCCCCCTCCCCCATCTGAGGGTACAGGTACAAAGGCTGAGTATAACGTCTGGCCCCTACCTCCTCTACGTTACAGTCCAAGCCACCCTGAATCGGGGTGTCGAAGTCCACAAAGTCCTGCATCGGCACAGAACCACCAGACCCACCACCGGGCGCTCCGTTGTGACCCGCCTGCCCACCGCCGCCCGCGCTACCACTCCCTGGACTGCTATTGTGGCCCTGCTGCTGCTGCTGCTGCTGTTGCTGTTGTTGCTGCTGTTGTTGTTGTTGTTGCTGCTGCTGCTGTTGCTGCTGCTGCTGTTCACGGTGGGTTAATGCTGCCCTGAGCATATTGGGTTCACTGTTGGACGCCGAGAGGGCAGTGTGGGCGGAGTGAGTGTGTTGTGGCTGTGAGGTGGGGGGGGAAGGGAAGTTGGAGGGCTGGTGCGCCTCGCCTCCGGGCCCCGGGTAGTGCCCCTCCCCCAGGGGCTGCGTAGGCGACAGGCTGTGGACGCTGTGTGCCGGGGACAAAGCCTGAAACACCACCATAACACACCAATCACCACCCGCAGGAACCACTGTATTAACTTAATGCTGATATGGTCATTTTTGTGTGAATAAGTTTGGTCAGATAATCCTTACGAGCAAAGCTGACGAAAGATCGCTGATAAAGAAATTATAAAGAATAAACAAAATAAAAAATAGATGTAACCAAACTTATGTGAGAGAAAAAAAAAACATAATATACAACACGTTCTCAAATAAATCATCTGATTATGCAAGCCAGCTGATCGGCCATCTTCACAATATTATCTAAACTACAATCTTTTAAAAAATCAGTCGTTATCAGCTATTATCTATCACTATTTTTTCCAAGCTGAAGGGTTACATGTTTATGCACAATCTATTAGTGATGTACAAGAGAGACAAACTAATTCATACGATAAAAAATACCGACTTTTAGGCATTGCAACCTCTCGGTATCTTCTAAGGGGGTTTGTTAGTGTTAGATAATGTTGCAAAGCTAAGTCTCGGGAAATGTGATGTTAGTTTAATTTCATCCTCATCATTTTCATCATTTAGTTAATTTCATCCTCATTATTACTATCCTTATCATCATTATTATCATTGTCATTATTATTATTGTTGTTGTTGTTAATAATGTTACTAATATTGTTATCATTAGCATTACTATTATCATCATCATCATCATCATTATTAATAGCAGTATCATTCTCATCATTATCTTTATCAACAGGCATTTACTACCACGACCACTATCACTGCCATCATCATCATCATCATTTTCATCATTATTGCCATTACTTCCATTACCATTATTATTACCCTACTCATCACTTCCGTTACCTGCCCCTTTCCCCACAGCATCTCCTCCTGGCAGGTCAAGAGCTACCGTGTTCAGAATCAATGTTTTCCGGGTTGAGTTAAAAAGGGGGCGTGTTTACTCAAGCTAATGCTATTATGAGTCTTATGCACAGCGATGACAGGAACGCTTTTGGAAAAAAATACGGAACTTAAATGAAGAGCGAATAAAGCATATGCTATTTTTTTTGTTTATACAGCTCATGGGGATGAATGAATGAAGGGGGGGGGTGATTCCTCAAGACAGAGATTCAGAAATTGGGGGTCTATCTTTATGGCAAAAAAGGACAATATGGGGTTTTATCTTTAAATGTTTTTATTCTTATTTTTTTTTATTCAAGGCACATCGATATGGCGTACTGACATATGTAGGATAAACATTCTCAGATAGATATGTCATGATATGTCATCTACGTTTCATTTATTCATTTGTCTTTTTAGATGAAAACTAAAATACTACCTGACGATGCATGAATGAAATCCGACATCAATCCGACGAAGAGAGATGAATTTTACGTCGTTAGTCTACCACTACAGTAATACCGTTTACACCCAGGTTTCTATGGTTTATTCCGACTTAAGCCCTTGACGTTTATTTAGTATGGAGGAGAAGAGGACATGCAATGAAGACAGGAATTAAGAAGAGAGGTTAACATACGCCAGCGTCCGCACGTGAGGGTATGGGAACGATACACGCACTCAGGTTAAGTTGGCTACACACAAACTTACTCGTTAGTGAACCTCAACCAAAACGGGGGGGAATCGACGGCGCCTGAACGTACCTGTAGACTGGTCAGGGAGTAGTTATTGTGTGGATGCGGGCGTGTGGGCGTTGCCATCTTGTCTTGGTGGGGTGTGGGCGGATGCTGCGCGGGCGGGTGGGGGAAGGCCGGCCCGTGGGGGTTGTGGGGGTTGAATCGGAAGTCTTCAAAGCTACTGAAGCCCTGGGGGAAGAAACAGTCGGTTTAGGTCTGCCCTCGCCAGCGCCCCGCCTCCGTGACTCTCGCCCTAACGCGCAGTTCATTTCACCGCCAGAGCTGAATATCCTTGGCGAGTGACAAAGGCCGCAACGCCCCATTGTCTAAAATAGGATTCCAATTAAATCGCCAAAGCCCTCACACGCCTCGCTTACCTGTGCGCGCAGCGAGGGCCGCGGGAGGCTGCTCGCGAGTAATGGCTGTGATTCCGGGCTGAGGGCGGCCTTACCTGCGGGTGGTGGTTGTGGTGGTGGTGGGTGACGTAGCCGTTCAGGTGCGAGGTGGGCGGGCCGTGCGGCGACAGCTGGGACATCTTCATACAGTCTTGGGGGTTGGGCGGGCGTGCTGGGCCGCCCCAGGAGTCCGGCCCGAGCTTCAGCCCCTCGCCCATGGAGTCCACTAACTGGTCGGCATACCGGTCGTGGGCGAGCGGGTGAGGGTGGGCGTGGTGGGGCCAGTATTCTCCGCCCCACCCGCCGATGCCAGGGGACATGGGCGGTACCTTGGACAGCATCGGGAAGTTTTAACATATTAAAAGATAATGACCTCCTTACGATACGCTTATGAATGAAAATATAACCACAATCATTGATCAGACTGGAAAAAAAAATAAAAATAATATTCCGCACAGACCCTTTCCCACGGCCCTGCCTCGCCCTCGCCTTACCTGTGAATCATGCATATCGGACTCTATCGCGGGGATGGGGGACAGTCTCCCGCAGGAGGAGGCGTTGGAGGAGGCCCTGGGTCGGTAGTCCTGCGGGGAGAGCTGGCTGTACGCGCTGTGCACTGGGTGCGTGTGGGGGGAGTCGGGGTACAGGTCCAGGCTCTCACTCAGCGACGACGACGGCGACGGTGTCATCTCCTGGCCGTTCCGGAGCGCCTGTGGGGGGGGCGGGGGCGGCGTTAGAGCGTCACCTAGGAGGCGCCGTCCTCTCCTCGAAGGGAAAAGGGCAGCCAAAGAAATCCTGGACAGCTATAGAGTCTTGGATATTTTATTTTATGAGAGAAATCCGGAAGAAGTCCTTGATTTTGCCCTGAGCCCCCAAGCCCTCTCTCTTTCTCTCTCTCTCTCTCTCAAAGTTCCTCCCCGAGAGAGAGAGAGAGAGAGAGAAGAGAGAGAGAGAGAGAGAGAGAGAGAGAGAGAGAGAGAGAGAGAAGAGAGAGAGAGAGAGAGAGAGAGAGAGAGAGAGAGACAAAAACAGACACAGACAGACAGAGAGACAGTAACAAACAAACACAGACAGACCAAACACCCCGCACCAACAAGAAAACCCCCCTAAAACCCCCCCTTTTACCTCAAGCTTCTTCTTGACCCTGCCTCGCTTCTTCTCGTAGCGGCCGCCTTCCATAGTGTTGGCTCGGCGGCGCGTGGACTTGCCCGGCTTAGCATCGGGGTTGAGGACCCACCAGGAGGACTTGCCTGTCCCCTCGTTCTGGACGCGCATGAAGCGGTTGTGGAGCGACAGGTTGTGGCGGATGGAGTTCTGTGGGGAGACGGAGGGAGGGAGAGATTAGTCTTTGGTAAAGGATGGAGAGGAAATTCGTCTGAAATACAGGATGAGGAAAGAGGGAAAGAAGAAAGATAAAGAAAATGTTGAACTGGAGGAGGAGGGAAAGAAGAATAAAGAAGAAAGATAAAAATAAAACTTGAACTGGAGGAGGGAAAGAAGAAAAAAGAAGAAAGATAAAGAAAACATTGAACTGGAGAACAAGAGAAAGAAAAAAAAGAAAATAAAATAAAACTTGAACTGGAGGAGGGAAAGAAGAAAAGAAGAATAAAGAAAACTTGAACTGGAGGAGGAGAGAAAGAAGGAAAACGAAGAAAGACAAAGAAAACACTGAACTTCAGAAGGAAAGAAAGAAGGAAAAAATAAGATAAACAAAAACAATGAACTGACTCCTACATCTACGTACTTCGTAACAGCACATGCACAAAGCACAAACATCTCACTCTAATTCAGAACAGAAAAACAATTCGTGCTCCCCCCCCCAAAAAAAAAAAAAAAATGGCGGGTTATCAGTGTCTAAAACTAATGTAATTTCGCCGCGACATCCATTTGTTACACCAAAAAGCGCGGGAGTTTTTCATTTTCCCTTTTCTTGGCGGGAAAATGAGCGTCCGCATACATTAGGCTTTACCTAAATAATATACCTTCACCAGGCATCTCTATTGTTCGTAAATAAAGCAAAAATGAGACATATTGCACAACCACAACAAAGTCTTCATTAATGAGGAACACTAATGAGCAAGGAAGAACCTTCATTATTATACTTAATTGAGGCCAATTATCCAATAATTCTCCACTTGTCTTTCCTACCATCGTAATAACAAAGGGTCGGTAGGTGTAGTTTAGTAAATATTCGGGTTGAGTCGTTACTTTGTCACATTACGTAGAGTTAAGAAGGGGGGCGGAAGGGTGAAGGGAACGGCGAGAGGGCGCGCGGGTCCGGAAAGGGAGGGAGGGAAGGGGGGAGGCGCACCCCTCGTTGGAACAGCGGCGCGGGCGAATTCGAAAAGATTTTGGCTACGACTTGATGGAAAGGGAAGGGATCCTATATATAATAATAATGCTTTTGTGAATGAAATAATGAACGAGATATATTTAAAACAAATAAAATAAAATAAATATATATTTAAAAAACGCAATGGTTCAAGCCGTCGCGTAAATAAACCCCGTGAATCATTTTAAAACAACAAGCAAAGAAAAAGAAGAGGAAAAAAGAAAGATAACAACACAGCGTAATTCCACGTTAGCCAGCAGTCACAGCGTCAGCAATTACCCGAAACCAACCAATCCACCTTTATTAATGAAGCTTCCTACAAGGTCATTAATTCTTAGTACCCGCAGATTGGCTGTGGAATAAAGCGATACGAACAATGATTGGTCGACCCGCGCATGGCGAACACCGATTGGTTGAGGCCTGCATGAAGGGCGGCGAATGGCTGGGGATTCGGACGCCGGACGGGGATTGGTCGCCGAGGACAGGTAGCCTCGCAAATTGCAGGTGCGCTTTCGGACGAGGCGATCCGAACCCGCCGCGAGCTGTGCCTCTTGCAAATGACCCGATTTTTCGCGGCAGAGCTGACAAAGCGAACTGTACGTAGTTAACGATGCGCAGTTCTAACGAGAGGGCGAACAGTAGGCCCCGAACACCGCGTCAAAGCGCAAATGAACAGCAGAAGACGCGTAGAAAGAAGGAGACAGGAGGAGAGATGATAAGGTGGCTAAAGGCAGCAGACGAGCCGAGAGAGCCAGCGGACGGAGGAGGGTATGAGAGAGAGACGCGCGCGGGGAGGGAGGGAGCGGGGTGAGAGGGAGAGAGAGGGAGGAGGAGGGAAGGAGGGGGAGGCGTATTGTAGTGCGAGCCATTGTGTTTAGTATAATCCGAACTAACAAGAGTAACCCATTGTTAACCATCTGGGCAGGTCCTTCAGCGGCGGCCGGGATGGTTGCCGACGCCTCGCGGACTCGCTCTCTCTCGACGCTCGCTCCTTGCCGACGGTGCCAAGGGAGGCGCGTCGACTTCGGGGGCATTTGCGCGTTGCTCTCTCCTCGCGCGAATTTTAGCTAATGTTAGTTCAGGATTCGAAACTATCTCGATCTCTCCTCGCGTTTAGCTATGTTAGTTCAGGATTCGAAGTGGATGGATTTAGGTTTAGAATAAGAAGTACTTGAGGGAATGCGTAAACTTGTCATACAACTGCAATATCGCAAATGGTATAAACCACAAATAACACCGTATGTCATTACTCGTAAATCACAGATATTTGACTGTCATATTAAAAAAAAAAATCTTCAAAAGCGCGTGACAGACTTGCCCCTCACCTCCCCCCCAGTACAACCCCCCTTCCAATGCCCGCCACCCCCTCGCAAATCCCCCCCCCCCCCAAGGCCAAACGAACCCCCTCCCCCCCTCGCAATCCCCCCCCCGCCAAACGAACCCCCCCTACCCCCCTACCGCCACACGACAAGACGCCTAGGATCACGGCGGCACTGTGGACGGCGGCGGGAAATGAATCCTGGCGAGACGGGATGTCTGCCTTTACCTGGGAGATGAGCAACAAGGAAATTACCAGGAAGCTGCCGGAGAATGGCGCCGAGGACGGAGGAGGGAAGGGAGAAACCGGGACTCTGAGACCAGAAGAGAGGGAGAGAGAGGAGAGAGAGGAGAGATGAGAGAGAGAAGAGAGAGAGAGAGAGAGAGAGAGAGAGAGAGAGAGAGAGAGAGAGAGAGAGAGAGAGAGAGAGAGAGAGAGAGAGAGAGAGAGAGAGAGAGAGAGAGAGAGAGAGAGAGAGAGAGAGAAGAGAGAGAGAGAGAGAGAGAGAGAGAGAGAGAGAGAGAGAGAGAGAGAGAGAGAGAGAGAGAGAGAGAGAGAGAGAGAGAGAGAGAGAGAGAGAGAGAGAGAGAGAGAGACAGAGACAGAGAGACAGACAGAGACAGACAGAGAGAGAGAGAATCCCATCTACCCTCACATCCAAAAACCCAATAACATCCAAAACCTTAAAAAAAAAAAAAAAAAAAAAAAAAAATACTCGCTACCACCACCACCTCCACCACACGAAAGCAGAGCCATCAAACCCCACCATGAACACCCCCAGATCGCCTCGCTCTCGCGGCCTCCCATCACCATAACCTCCCTTCTACCATGAAGGACTGATGACGAGGCTGTATGAATGTGTGAATCCCTAATCCGGACAAAAGACGGAAGGATGAGTGACAGGAGAGAGTCCCCGTTACGGAAAGACACTGGAAGGAGACGGAACAAAAGATATCGGTAGGGCGGCAGGGGAGATTATCGAGAGTCAGGGAGACACGGAGGGAGAAATGGGAGATGAAGAGAGGGAGGAGAGAGAGGAGGGGAGGGAGAAATGGGAGATGAAGAGAGGAGGGGAGAGGAGAGGGAGAGAGAAATGGGAGAAGAGGAAAGGGAGTGAGAGAGAAATGGGAAAACAAGAGAGGGAGAGAGAAATGGGAGGAGAGGGAGAGAGAAATGGGGAGAACAGAGGAAGAGAGAAATGGGAGAACAGAAGAAAATGAATGGGGAAAGAGAGAGAAAGGTGATGATCTTATCGAGAGACAGTGATGTGCGGATAGAAGTGAGGAGAGAGAGAGAGAGAGAGAGAGAGAGGAGAGAGAGAGAGAGAGAGAGAGAGAGAGAGAGAGAGAGAGAGAGAGAGAGAGAGAGAGAGAGAGAGAGAGAGAGAGAGAGAGAGAGAGAGAGAGAGAGAGAGAGAAAGAGAGAGCTAAGGAAAACAGACAAAGAAAGAGACACGGAAAGAGAAACAAGGGGACGAAATACGGAAAGAGGGGAAGAGACGAAACAATAGAAGGCGGGGAATGAAAAGGAAGAAGCGAAACGGTCTATCCAAGACGAAACACGGAGAATGAGAATTAGCAAAAAATCTATTGATAAAGTTATCATATTAAGCAGATATCTACACGCATGAAATTTCCTTTTTTATGAAAAAATAACGTCAGATAAATAGCACATACTTTATATAATAAAACAATAAAGAAGGAAAGATAATATAATCCCAAATTCCACAAAACGACTCTCTGTCTCACACGCAAAAAAAGTATAACATTAACAATATACGTTTATATACCTATAAAAATCAACCAAAGAAAAACACAATATAAACAATAAACGTTTATATATACCTATTAAAAATAACCGAAAGAAGTCAATATTGCACAGTTGCCTCATCTCAACAATGCCACTGACTGATGCTTCAAGTCTCACCTCTATTGCAAGGATTTTTATTCACGACCAAAGCGACTGCAAAACTGATGCAATTTTTTTTTATTCTATTTTATTTTTTTTATTTTTTTTTATCTTTTTTATTTTTATTCTTTTTTATCTTTTATTTCTTCTTCTTATTTTTATTATTATTATTATTTTTAGAAAGGTAATCTTTTGGGTAAACTGATCGAAAATCCGTATTATTTGTGTCCTCCGAAGCGTGAAAAAAATGTTTTTAATATCGCTCATGATCTTGTAAATAGGCAAGCACGCTATATACTAAATGCCATGACAGACAGACAAATAAACGGATAAACTGACAGACAAACAAACAAACGAACAGACTGACATACAGACAGACAAACACACACGCAGCAAACTAAAAACAAACATAACAACACAAACACAATGGCCACAAAACTCGCGTGACAAACAACCATAAACATCATCAATACAAACAGAAAACAAACAGAAACATTGACAGATTTGCGTGTGTTATATTTATAATGAAATGTTTAAAGTCATATTCTGCCAATGCATAATCAATTGCAAAAGACTGGTGATAAAAATGTGAATATTTGATAGCCATTGATAAAACTTTAAACAAAGGCGTATATATGTATGTATGTGCGCATGTATGTATATGCAAATGTATGTGTGTATATGATTAGGCCTATGGATGCATGTATGTATTTGTGTGAGTGTGTGTGTATGTGTATGTGTGAATGAGTGAGTGAG